GCAGAAATTCCCGGGTCTGAAGTTCTAGATCTTCAGACAGTTTTATTACCCTGTGAGGACCTACTCTTTCTTGGGTTCTCCAATTTTAGACTGTGTTGGAAACACCATCAGGATACCTCATTTAACAGGCAGATTCTTGGGTCCCATTGTTACAGCTTCTGATCCAGCAAGTGTTGATAAGGGTTAGAGATCCAGCAAGTGTTGATAAGGGTTAGAGGATATGCATTTTTAGTAAGTTCTCGAGGTGATTGTATACGAGGTGCCCTGAGGCCCATACTTGGTGAATGATGGTATATGCTTACCTTTGGCAAAAATTGAGAGCTATTAGGATGCGTTCTGAGAAACTGTATGTAACACAGGAAGCAACAGAACCGGACATAGAACAATGGACTGGTTCAAAATTGGGAAAGGAGTACCTCAAGACTGTATATTGTCACCCTGCTTATTTAACTTATATGCAGAGTACATCATGCAAAATGTCAGGCTAGATGAAACACAAGCTGGAATCAAGATTGCTGGGGGAAATAACAACTTTGGATATGCAGATGATACCACTTTAATGGCAGAAAGTGAAGAGGAACTATAAGAGCCTCTTGAATGATGGAGAAAGAGGAGAGTGAAAAAACTGTCTTAAAACTCAACTTTCAGAAAACTAAGATCATGGCATCTGGTCCCATTACTTCATGACAAATAGATGGGGAAACAGTGGAAACAGTGGCAGAGTTTATTTTCCTGGGCTCCAAAATCACTGTGAACAGTGACTGCAACCATGAAATTAAAAGACACTTGCTCCTAGGAAGGAAAGCTATGACAAACCTAGACAGCTTATTAAAAAGCAGAGATATCACTTTGCCAACAAAAGTCCGTATAGTCAAAGCCATAATTTTTCCGGTAGTCAGGTACAAGTGTGAGAGTTGGACCATAAAAAGGCTGAGTGCCGAATTGATGCCTTCCAGTTGTGCTGGAGAAGACGCTTGAGAGTTCCTTGGACTCAGGAGAAGACTCTTGAGAGTTCCTTGGATGGCAAAGAGATCCAACCAGTCAATCCTAAACGGAATCAACCCTCAATATTTATTATAAGGACTGGTGCTGAAGCTGAAGCTCCAATTCTTTGGCCACATGATGTGAAGAGACAACTCACTGGAAAAGACCTTGGTGCTGGGAAAGATTGAGGGCAGGAGGAGAACGGGGCGTCAGAGGATGAGATGGTTGGATGGCATTACTGACTCAATGGACATGAATTTGAGCAAACTCAGGGAGATAGTGAAGGACAGGGAAGTATGCTCTGCTGCAGTTCATGGGGTCGTGAAGAGTCGGACTGGACTTAGCAACTGAATAACAACAAGGATGTGTTCCCTGGCCCCGGCCTCCTCCTACTCCAAGATTACTTGATTGTAGGGTAAGCATATATGACTTGGGATCTTTGGTATTATTTCTATAATTGTGTATTTTTGACTTTAAAGAAAAATAACTGCTAGAATGTTCTTTAACAAATATGCTGCCTTTTATCCTTATTAAGAAAAATTAATGTTGAGTTCATAAGAGTTTTGAAGAGCAAAGCCATCATTTTGACCTGTTTTCTTGGTTCCCAGACTCTTCCTTATTTTTTCTCCCTTACCTAATATTCTAATTTTAAGCCACTGATTCTCTCCAGTGACTGCTGGAAACTTAATCACCACACAGTGGGGCCAAGCCCCAGGCCCTTGCCCTCTACTTTCTGGACCAGACTTGGACCTATTAGCCCTGTCTCTCTTCTTCCCTTCCCTGTGTGACCTGCAAGGGTTAAATAAGACCATGATGTTTATTACCTAATAGCTATTTTGAAAAAGCTTTCCCTGTTAGCATCATCCATATTATATCTGAATGTTCTTAGGTATTTGAGTTCAGATGCTTAGAACAGATACAGAGTCCAAATGAAAATCAAAGGCAAGTTTTATATAAAATAAAGCTCTTCTCTGCTCTTATCAGATAAATTTCTCAGAAGCTCACAGGCTACATGCACAAGTCATAGTTAAAATAATTTTTCTATTTTTATCTACTCTAACAATTTCAACCAAAAATAGCCTCTATCATGATGCAGACCCACAGCAAGTGGCTGCAGCCCCTCCCCACTCCCTGCTCTCAGGTTTGTTTATAGCCAGGGTGGTGATAAAGTCAACAGGATGTGGTCACAGGTCAAGGGTCAGAGGGACTATCTGGTGATTTCCATGCAGTGTGTGTATAAGAGGTATTTGTCCTTTCTTATCCTGGAAATGAACTCAAGCAATATGGATGGGGACGTTTTAAGTCACAATTACAATAAAGTCAAAAAAGCCCTCATACTTTAGAAATCTAACTAAAGCATTTTATGAACGAATGCTTGGTCCAGTCTTCTCCCTGTCCTGAAAGAGCTGATGGAGGGAGCTTCTACAGAGTGTCCTCCCTGTCTGCAGAGAGAAATGAGAAGGAATAGCCCCTCCTCCCCACGTTTGGAAAGTTGTCATTTGAGGGTAAGAGATTTTATCTTATTGTGATCATGAGGGGGAATTGCTGCCCAGGGACTCCAGGTGGCAGATGGAAAGAGTCTCAATTTCCCCTGACATTGTGGAGATGCTACACTAACCATGGGACCACCCACCTTTGGACTTCAGAATGGCATGGGCACATAGCCATCCCTCCCCTCAAGGACAAGAAGTCAGACCCGGAGAGGCTTTGGGTGTGGGTGACAGGACAGAGCAGTGGATGCCGCGCTTGTGGACGAATAACTACGAGCCAGTCCTGACTGAGGAGGTCTGATGAGCCTCTGAAATCCAGACAAGCAGTCCCTCATGGGGAGGAGATGTGCCCAATACCTCTTCACATCCCCGAAGCAATCCAATCATTTCCTTTAAACATGGACATGACTGCAAGAGAAAGTGGGGAGGGTAATCTCAGAATTGCCTCTGAACTGAGGGAGTTTACCCTGAACTGACTCAACAACATGTGGAATTGGGAGGTGGCCCAGAAAGCTAACTTATAGAAAAGCACATTATTTCTTTTTTTACATATTTGAATATATGGACAGAAGTACCTTTCCTTCTCAGCAATCCTCCATCTCAAAATAGAAAACAAAAAACCAGTCTCACCTCAATCCTACTCTCCTCTGCAGCTCTCCATCCCTTTTTCCCTGTACTGTCAAATTTTTGGAGAAAATGGTCTATCCTGGGGCCTCTGTTCTTTGAGATCTACCTATTGCTTATCCCCTCCTCATCTGACATCTGGCTCCAGGCTAATAAACTTGCTGTCAAACTGGTCAGTCATTCAGAAAACAATTATTGAACTTATACCTTGAGTTATGACTTTTCCTCTTTCTGACTTACATAAGTAGCTTCAATTGATGACTAAAGAACCTCACCAATGTTCTACTGACTCTTCAAATGAGTCCAAACCCAAATCATTATCTCCCGCCCCCCCCCCGCCCCGCCCACCCCAATCAGCTTAACCTCCTGGTCTGTGAGCCTCCAACAAGGTCAAAACTCCTGGGTCACCTTTAATCTCCTCCCACCTCCTGTTCTCCATCTAAGTCATTTCAAGTCTGTTTACATTGAGGCCTACCACAGAGGGTTGATGTGAAAGCCCAATAAGTCAGATCTCTGCAGTTGTTAACTAGAAGTGTGCTTCAGAATCACCTGTGTTAAACACAAAAAGATAAAAAACAAACAACCTAAAAATGATGCCCCCAGTCCCACCTCAGATGGGCTTACTCTGAATGTGGGGCCCAGGCAATATCAAAGTCTCCCTCATCTGTGCTCCGTGGACAGATCAGAAGGGACTCCTGCCTTGTTCTCCGGTTGCTTCCTGGGTCTGCCCAGCCAAACAGGAGCCGCTCTGCCCTGCCTTTCTCCAGGGCCTTCCTGGTGTCCGGCCCAGGGCTGGAATGCAGCCTAGTGGGTTCCCTACGGATTGGGTGGAGGGTGCTTCCCAAATGCTACAAGCAGATGTACCTATAAGAAGTCAGGAGCCACTGTAATGCTTCAGAACACATGTTTGAGCCATTCTGTTTCTTTACATCAGGGATCTGGGACTCGTGTACCCTCCCTCTGACAAATCAAAAGTCCCTCAGAAACTGGTTTCTGCACTTCAGGGGCATGTATACAAATCTTACAGGTGGCTTCAGCTGGGAGCCCTCCTGAACTAGGAAGGGTCCCTGAGGCACAAAATTCATTCAATGGCTCCCTCATTCAGGCTGACTCAGGACTCAAGGATCCACGCAGTCAGCTGGTAGGGCTAGGTTCCCAGTGGTCATCAGTTAATCAGCTCACCCAGGTGGCATCCAGTTAGTTGGGCATTTTATTCAGTCCTTCATTTATTCCTGCAGGCCTCTGTCACAGAACCATTCACCCAGTCACCCAACAGATATGTACTGAGACCCTCTAAGTGCCCGATACTGTCTTCACACAGGAGGCAAAACGGATGATAATACAAGGAACACTGGACCCCTGAAACCTACCAGGCTGGTGTTGGGCGGATTCTCAGGAGTTCTGGGGCCTGGAGATCAATGTCAGGCACCCGGCTGAGCGTCACTTCCCACTCTTCAACTCTTCCTGCTTTGGTCCTTTCGGTGGCTGGAGCTTCCAAGCCACAGGTAGGAAGATCGAGGCAAGGATGAGGTGGCCCCTGGGGAAAGGAGAGACAAAAACAACATAGCGGGGAGTGTGGTGGGAAAGGAGCGTGGCCAGGAGCATTTATCCAAGTGGCTACCTTCATTGTCTTAGGGAGAGGGTCCCGGAGGGAGGACAGATGCTTCGAGGCGGAGAAGAGTGGGCCAGCCGCCCGGCGCAGGGGCTCGGCCGGCTCTGCCAGCTAGCCTGGGGTTCTTCGGGCGCTGGCGGGGCGCGGGGCGGCGCGGCGGGGGCGCGCGGCGGGAGGGGCTGTGCGCGGCGCGGCCCCCGAGCGCGCGGGGCCTGGCGAGGAGCGCGCCGGCCCGGCTCGGCGCCGGTACCCCAGGCGCGGGCTGCCGCCCCGCAGCCCCGGGCTGGACCATGGCGACCGACAGTAAGTGCGCTCGGGCGGCGGAGGCCCCGGGTAGGAGTCCGCGGGGCCCCGGGGCGGGAAGTTTTCCTCTTTGCGATGCCCGCCTTTGTGCCGGGCTCGCGGGGGCCGCGGCCGGGTACCCCCGCGCCCCTCTGCCCATCACCCTCTGCAGCCGGCAGGATCGGAGAGGCGCAGGCGGCCCTGGCAGCCCGGTCCCAGAGGGATGCGGTGGAAGGGCGAGCGGCGGGCGCCGAGGTGGAGGGGACGCTCGATGCCGCGGGCAGCGGGCCCTGCCATCGCAGCCCTTCTGGGGGTGCCCCTGGGCCCAGAGCCGGCCTTTGGGGAACCTTGGCATCCAGGCGCCGGGAGCTTTTAGCGTTGAATTTAAGGTTCGCTCCGAGTTCTGGGGCTGGTTTTGCGTGTTCGCCTTCGGGGGATGAGGGTGGCTTGACTGCTCGGCTGCCCCATGTGCCCACCCGGGCCATGTTCCCTGGGGCCAGAGACCTTATCTGGTCACCATGGACAGAGCACCAGGTGAGCGCGTGGATGTCAGGTTAAAACTACTGAATGGAAGTGTTGGAAGAGGCTGGGTTGGCCTGCGTTTGGCATCTTGGCACCACTGCTTTATTGGCTCAGTGCTTTTGGAAATGGAATCACGTCCACGAAAGCTGGTTAAGTTAGATGTGTCGGAAGCTGGATGCGCATTAGTAGAGCCTCAACGGGAGTGTGTGTGTGTGTGTGTGTGTGTGTGTGTGTGTGTGCGCGCGTGCGTGTCTTCTGTCATGTCCGACTCCGCGACCCCATGGACTGTAGCCCACCAGGTTCCTCTGTCCATGGAATTTTTCCAGGCAAGAATACTAGAGTGGGTTGCCAGTTCCTACTCCAGGGAATCTTTCCGACCCAGGGATGGAACTGGCGTCTCTTGTGTCTCCTGCATTGGTAGGCAGATGCCTTACCACTGCGACACCTGGGAAGGCCCATATTCAACTCTACTGATTGAAGAATAAAACTTTAGCCCACTGGTTTTGTTTATGGAAAAATGGTAATGATTTTCTACCAGCTTAGCTTTTGAGGCGATTTTTAAGTACAGCCTTAATTATGTTTGTTTTCAGTTGGCATGGAGCTGAAACTATGAAAGGTTTCCAGAATGTAGAGGATAATTAGTTTGTCTTTGTTCTTATTCAGAAGTAGGGTAAGGGACTTACTGTGTGTCCCTACTAGGGAAATGAAAAGAAAGTATTCTCAGCTGGTGTCTTGAAAAATTCTCTCCAGATCTTGACCATGTCTGCAGCTTAGAGACCCACAGTTCTTTCACAGTTAGTGTAAAGGTGATCCTGGAAAGGGCTGTTCTAGATGCAGAGTTCCTTGGTCAGTTCTCAGCTTGCCTGCATTTTAGAATTACTCCCAGAGCTTTCAAAAATCCTTGAGCATCAGTATTTTTATTTTTTTAAAGTAATACATCTCATATTTTAATCTGAATCAGAATCTCCTGGAGGGCTTGTTATCACAGGTTGCTGGCCCCCACTTCCAAAATCTGCAATTCAGTAAGTCTGTGTTGTAGCCTGAGAATTGATGTTCTTATCAAGTTTCAAGTGTTGCTGAAGTTACTGTGCTCCCTGTCTTCTCTCTGTAGATGTGGGAATGATAGGTGAGAGGCAGGTAGGAGCACAGAGAGACAGTCACTTTTTCAGTTCAGTCAATGTGCGGCAGGTACATGGCATTGTGAACATATATCAAACCTGGGCAGTGTTGCCTTTGGGCTACAGTGGACTGCTTTCTCTATTTTTGTCCCCAAAGAAATTTCCTCTTGAGAGAAAAATTGGTTCTAAAGTTGAGCAAAACCAGAATCCTCTCCAGTCATTCCAGTAATGCAGAAAGTAATCCAGAAAGACCCCCCCCCTTTTTTTTAAACAAATGTGGAACATAAATGTATATAAAACATGCATATATTTTAAAAAATATTTGCCTGGCAACGTATAATGTTCACAATAAGAATGCCCAGACAACATGCCCTCTGAGGGCAGATTCCAGAGGAAGAATGGAGGCTCTGAGGGCCTCACTTTGGTTTTCAGAGAGGTGTGGTGAAATGGGAAGGATCTTTGAGACCATCAAACTAAACTCCCCTTGGGCAATTCATATTTTTATTTTTATAACTCAGGTTTATGAGATCTTAAAAGGTTGAAACAATTGGGAGGAACTATAATAGAAAAAAAGGAGACTAGTAGGGTAGAAAAAACAAACCCAAACTCTGTTAGTATGAGCAGCTTGGTTATTATATAAAGTGGTGGTACTTAGGTATTTGACCTATGTTTCTTGATTTTCTCAGTAATAAGTATTCCAGATAGTTTTGTGTTTCCAGATCATAGTGAAGTATTTTTCTCTTTTTCTTCCATTTGTGTCACTTGTTCCATTATTAGTACTTGCCCTTATGAGTCTTTATTGTTAAAATCACTGTAACCTGTTTAGAAGTGTAATTTCTTAGGAACAGCCAGGCATGTTTGGGCAACATTGGAAATATGTAATTGTATTATGCCCTGGAAATCTCGGGCCATTCTTGGGTGGATGGGTCTTTGGGGCTGCTGTGGATGAATATTTGGTTTTATTAGGAAAACTTCTAGTCCCCATCTGCTTGCTCCTGGTTTACTGGTTGGTTGTGTATCATTTTGGCTGGGTACATCTGCAGGTTACTACCCCACAAGCCATTCCTCTTCCTGCTTACTGGTTGACAACCTGCACTTTACTTCTTCCCCATCGTACTTATCCCAGCAGTGATTTCCACTCTGCCTAGTCCTGGAGGGTAGAAGGAAGAGACAGCAAGGGAGGGAAAAATCAAATTTAGGCCCTACGTAGGTGAAGGTTAGCAAGCTCTGCCAAATAGCTACTTAAGATGTTTAGGACTTGGGATGTTGAGTATTTAAAAGAAAATTGCTTGATTTTAGTGAAAAGGAACTCAAATTCTTAAGTAAAATTGTTTTCAGTCATAATTATTATTAAACAGATTACAAATAATGCCAACTAAAAAACAGACAAAAAGAGTTAGAAAATGACTACTTTGCCACCATCATAAGTAAGTAAGTAAGTGTTAGTTGCTCAGTTGTGCCCAACTCTTTGAGACCCCAGGGACGGCAGCCCATCAGGTTCCTCTGTCCATGAGATTTTCCAGGCAAGGATACTGGAGTGGGTTGCCATTTCCTTCTCCAGGGGATCTTTCCAACCCAGGAATCGAACCCAAGTTTCCTGCACTGCAGGCAGATCCTTTACCAACTGAGCTACCAGGGAAGCCCATTCACACCGGAATCATCCGTGGATGCTAAACTATTGTGTGAAAACCTGAAGACCAGAATATTTACATTTTGGGCGAATTTCCCCACAGATTTCTTATTAATTGCACAGGGGAAAATGGTAATGTTATAGTGCAGAAACATGGGGTTCACTACCTTAACCAAACCATCAAAGTTAGTATCACTAGTTAGTAATAGGGCAGCCTGGTAACCTGTGTTGCCTGATCCAAAATCTTGAGAAGGATAGAGGGTTTTCTGCCAAAAATGGGTACCCTGGTTCTCATCAGGGGGAAATATCAGACAAACCCACATTTGGAGACATTCCACAAAAGTCAGAGTCATGAAAGATGGCTGAGGCACTGTTCTAGAATGAAGGAGACTAAAGAGATAAGTAAATGCAATAGATGGTTTGGATCAGACCCAAATCAGGAAAAAATGCTACCAAGGACAATATTGTGATAATTGGGGAAATCTTAGTATGGATTGTATGTCAGATAATAGCCTTGTTGTACAGTCACTAAGTCATGTCCAACTCTTTGTGACCCCATGGACTGTAGCACACCAGGCTTCCCTGTTCTTCACTATCTCCTGGAGTGTGCTGAAACTCATGTCCATTAAATCAGTGATGCCATCCAACCATCTCATCCTCTATCACCCTCTTCTCCTCTTGCCCTCAGTTTTTCCCATTATCAGGGTCTTTTCCAGAGTTGGCTGTTTGCATCAGGTGGCCAAAGTTCGTAGCTTCAGCTTCAGCACCAGTCCTCCCAATGAATATTCAGGGTTGATTTCCTTTAGGATTGACTTGTTTGATCTCCTTCCTGTCCAGGGGACTCTCAAGAGTCTTTTCTAGCACCACAGTTCAAAAGCATCAATTCTTTGGCACTCAGCTTTCTTTATGGTCTAGCACTCACATCTATACATGACTACTGGAAAAACCATAGTTTTGACTAAATGGATCTTTGTCAGCAAAGTGATGTCTCTGCTTGTTAATACACTGTATAGATTTGTATACTGCTTTTTAATACACTGTCATAGCTTTTCTTTCAAGGAGCAAGCATCTTTAAATTTCATGGCTGCAGTCACAGTCCATAGTGATTTTGGAGTCCAAGAAAATGAAATCTGCCACTGTTTCCCCATCTATTGTCCATGAAGTGATGGGACTGGATACCATGATCTTTGATTTTTGAATGTTGAGCTTTAAGTCAGCTTTTTCCCTCTCCTCTTTCACCTTTATCAAGAAGCTCTTTAGTTCCTCTTCACTTTCTGCCATTAAAATAGCCTTGTATCAATGTTGAATTCCCAAAATAGGATGTTTTTACTGCAGTTTGGAAGGGACTGTCTTCCTTAGGAGAAACTGGAGTCTTTAGGGGTAAAGGGACATGATGTCTGCAGCAAAATCGCAAATGGTTTAGGAGAAAAACGTTCATGTGTATGTGTGCACTTGTATGTGTATGTGTATATGTGTTATACAAGAAAGGAGAGAAAATGTGCCAGATCTTAGCATTTGGTGAATCTAGGAGTTTTTTGTACTATTCTTGCAAGTCTTCTGTAAATTTGCAAATCAAAACATATGGTTCCATGTAAATTTTAGGATTATTTGTTCTAGTTCTGTGAAAAATGTCATGGGTGATTTCCTGAGTGTTCATTGGAAGGAATGATGTTGAAACTGAAACTGCAATACTTTGGCCACCTGATGCAAAGAACTGACTCATTTGAAAAGACCCTGATGCTGGAAAAGAT